GCTTCCGTCTTTTTTAATTTGGGTTTTCATCTATTCTAGGGTTTAGGGTTTAGGGTTTAGGACTTGGGGTTTACTTTTCGGTTGTTTTCAAACTCTTCTAGAGATATTTGCGTCACTTCAGCTTCTCCACAATCCGAAAGCTGCTGCTGCTGCTGCTGCCGCTGCTGCTGCTGCTTCTCGTGGCGCCGCCGCTGCTGCTGCTTCTGTCGCCTGTGCTGCTGCTGCTGCTGCTGCCGCGCTGCAGCAGCGCCACGCTCTACACGTCTCGATGGCTCTACTTCAGCCAAGATTCCAGACACATGCTGCTTTTGCTGCTGCTCGCGTTGCTGCTGCTGCTGCTGCTGCAGCTGCTCTTCCTCGTCCTCTAGCTGCTGCTGCTGCTCCCTCTCTGCGTCTTCTCTTTTGTCGCTTTCTGCGCTCCGTGCTGCTGCTGCTGCATTTGCTGCTGGTGCTGCTACTTTCCCTTCCGCTGCTCCGGCGTCTTGCAGCTCAACCACGTTCTCTCCTTCTGCCTGCTGCTGCTGCTGCTGCTGCTGCCGCTGCTGCTGCTGCTGTTGCTGCTGCATGCGTTTGAGCTGCGCATAGAACTGCTGCTCCTGGGCCTTCCAAATTTGCTTCTGCTTTATTATTTTTTCTTCTTCTTCTTCTCTGTCGTAGGCGCGGTCAAGCATGGTGCTGTAGAGCACCCCTCCCTTGCTGCTGCTGCTGCTGCTGCTGCTGCTGCTGCTGCTGCTGCTGCGTCTCTGGGAGCGGTTGAGTTCTATGGCTTTTGCTGACAGCAGCGCCCACACTTGGGGACTCCGGAGGCCTCTTGCTGCTGCTGCTGCTGCTAGCTGCTGCAGCCGCCGCCCAGATAGGGGCTGCCCCTGCAGCTCCAGCTCGAGAAGAGCAGCAGCATCTGCTGCTGCTGCTGCTGCTGTGCCTCCTGCGGGCCTTCCTCCTGCTGCTGCTCCTTGTGCGGGCTCGTCTGTTGCTGCTGCTGCTGCTGCTGCTGGCGCAGACGAGGGGCATTCGGCGTCAGCAGCAGCACTGGCAGCTGATGCTTCGCCACCTTCTGCTGCTGCTGCTGTGTGCATGCAAGCATTGCTGCTGCTGCTGCTGCTTCTGTTCCAACGAGCAGCAGCAAAACCAAAACTTGCAAATCTACAGCCGTCATGAACACTTGTGGGGCCACACAGGACCCTCTCAACAGCCCCCAAGGGGGCCCCTAGGGGGGCCCCTAGGGGGCCCCCCAGGGGGACCCGTAGGGGGGCCCTAGCAGCGCTTAAGGGGGCCCCTGGGGGCCCCCTGAGTCCACCTTGAAGGGCCCCTTTGGGGGCCCAGCTGCTGCAGCAGGGGCCCCAGAGGGGCCCCCTAGCAGCAGGTGGTGGGGGGCCCCGTGCTGCAGCAGCGTGAGAGGCCCCCCGGGGGCCCCCCCTGGAGGCAGCAGGGGGGCCCCCGAGGCGCTGCAGCGCAGCACTTGGGGGGCCCCTCATTTGAAACCCTTAGATCTGGAGAAAAAGCAAGAAACTCAACAATTAAATTACTGATAAACCCTTTGCTGCTGCTGCTGCTGCTGCTGCTGCTGCTGCTGTTTGGTTCAGGTGGTGCTGGTGCTGGGGTGTACGTACACCTCAGCTGCCGCAGGAGGCTTCGCTGCGGCCGGGCGGAAGGAAACGAATGGATTGGATTTATTGAATTAAGAACAAATGAATAAAAATAGAAATAATAAATGAATTATAGATTTTAAATTGCAAATTATAAACACAGAAAGAGAAAACGACGCAACTGCTCCGCGCGCACCGACAGCTCGCAAACTGAATTTCCAAACTTCGCCATTTCTCATGAACTAAATTCATTCCATTTAATTCAATTTTATTTTATTTTACTTTATTTATTTTAATCCAATTCAATGCAACTTAAACCGATCCATTTAACCCAGTCTTCCCCAGCGAAGCTGCACAAAAAAACACCCTGTGGGGGCCCCCATGGGGGCCCCCGGGGGCCCCTGGGGGGCCCCTGGGGGCCCCCTGGGGCCCCCATGGGGCCCCTGGGTTCGTTTTGCTGGAGCCTTTTGTTTTGGTTGAGTTTTGGACTGTTTTGTTTGTTTTAATTAAAGTTTGAATTAAAAGAGAATTACAGAAAAAAATTAATTGAATTAATTCGGGTGGGGTTGTTGTTTTTCTTGTTTTCTTTGCTGCGGCTGGAAAGCACGAAGAAGCTGCTTCTCGACTTGCCCCAAACCCTAAACCCTAAACCCTAAACCCTAAACCCTCATTCTTGAAGAATTCCGCTGAGCAAAAGGAGCGGAAGAAGGCTGCAAAACCCGAAGCCCCAAACCCTAAACCCTAAACCCTAAGCCCTCGCAGCAGCAGACTGCGTGGCAGCGAGCCGAAACCATAAACCCTAAACCCTAAACCCTAAAATGGCGGTTTCGACGGCTGAGGGCGCGGGGTTTGGGTCTCCTTCTCTGGCGGAGATTTCGGAGGTTTTGCAAAACCCTAATTCTCCAATTACAATTAAAATGGATTATTTATTTGTTTTAAAAGAATTAAAAAAAAAAGAAGCTGCACAAACCCTCGTCGAAACCCTCAGAAAAAGAACTCAACCCGAATCCGCCTTGTTCAGGTACTTCTTTTATTTCCTCCAATTAATTAATTATTTAATTTATTTAATTAGATTAATCAATTAATTTATTTATTTATTTATTTAATTTAATTAATTAATTAACTAATTAATGATTCTATTTGATTAACTCATTAACTTATCGATTAACTAATTAATTAGCGAATCAATTAATTAACTACCTCAATTAATTAATTAATTAATTAACAAACTAACTACTTAAATTAACTAACTAACTAATTACAAATAAATAAATGAATAAATAAATAAATAAATAAATAAATAAACACTAATTTGGAGTGTACAGACACGAGGCGGCCTACGTGCTGGGGCAAATGGGAAATGAATTTTCCATTTCTTTTTTGGAAAGTCTTTTGAAAGATAAATCTGAAGATGAAATGGTGCGCCACGAGGTGAGAAATAAACAACTTTATTTTATTTTATTTATTGGATTTGTTTATTTCTTTTGTTTTATTTTGATTTGTTTTTTGTTTGTTTTGCTTCACCTGTTTTGCTTTTTGCTCTTTTCCTTTCCTGCTTTTTTCCAGCTTCTAGGCTTTTCGGGAGGCGTAGAACTGCTCTCTAGGGTTTAGGGTTTAGGGTTTAGGGTTTAGGGTTCAGGGTTTAGCGGTTGGTGGCTAAGGAGTGGGGTCTCATGTTTCTGTGGCTGTGGCTTTGCTGCTGCTTCAGTGCTGCTGCTGCTGCTGCTGTTGCTGCTGCTGCTGCTGCATTTGTCTCCCTAATTGTCTCCCCATTTGGCTGCTTTTTGTGTTTCAAGCGAAGAGCATTGTTTGTTTATTTATTCTTTTATTTATTCATTTATTTATTCATTTATTTATATTTTTATTTATTTACTTATTTATTTACTTATTTATTTATTTAATTATTTGATTTTCTTCCAGGCTGCAGAGGCGCTTGCGGCTATAGGCGACGAAGCTTCGATAGACACCGTACGTGAATTTGCTGCTGCTGCTGGTGCTGTTGTTGCTGCTCTTGCTGCTGCTGCTGCTGCTGCTCTTGCTGCTGCTGCTGCTGCTGCTAAGTTTAGGGTTTAGGGTTTAGGGTTTAGGGTTTGGGGTGTACGTACAGCTGGCGGCGTTTCTGGACGACGCGAGCGTGCCAGTGCGGGAGACTTGCGAGTTGGGAATTGCGAGATTGAAACTGAAGCAAAAAGAGGGAAAAAAGGGGGAAAAAGAGGAGAAAAAAGCGGAAAAAAAGGAGAAAAAAGAAGAAATAAATGAAGAATTAAACAAAGATTCAAATTCGGATTTAAATTGCGAAAAAAATGAAATGAAATTCGCAAATTTTAATTCCGTCGATCCCTCGCTGCCGTTCGCGGGGTGTACAGACACCGACGCGCTGTCGCTCTACTTCATCTTGACCGACCCGCAGACTTCTTTGGCGATTCGGTGACAAATAAATAAATAAATAAATAAATGAATAAATAAATAAATAAATAAATAATAAATAAATAAATAAATAAATAATTCTGTTCTTTTGCTGCAGATATAGAGCCCTCTTCACGCTGCGGGACTTGCGAGCTCCTGCTGCTGTTGCTCTTTTAGCTGCTGCGCTGCAGCACGACAGCAGCTCTGCACTTTTGCGGCACGAACTTGCTTTTGTTTTGGGACAAATTCGCTACCCTCCTGCTGCTGCTGCTGCTGCTGCTGCTCCTGCTCCTGCTGCTGCTGCTGCTCCTGCTCCTGCTGCTGCTGCTGCGGGCGGCGAGGGGCGCGAAGAGTTCCTCGCCGCTGCTGCTGCTGCAGCGGCGAGGAGGCATGCTGCAGCAGCTGACGCAGCAGCTGCAGCAGCAGCAGCAGCAACGGGGGGGCCTCCTGATGCAGCAGCAGCAGCAGCAGCTACTGCTGCTGCTGCTGCGCTGCTGCAGCGGCTCGACGAAGAGCCGGAGCAGCAAATGGTGCGGCACGAAGCAGCACTTGCCCTGGGGTCTCTTGCTGCTGCAGCAGAAGCAGCAGCAGCAAAACTGAACCCTCAAAAAGCCTCGCAGCAATTATCTCTTTTTTGCAAAACACTTTCTGGAGAAGCAAATGAAGACACAAATGAAAACGCAATTCAAAAATTAAATCAAAAAGTTGAAGATTTTCATTTTCAAGAAAAAGATGCAGAAAAAACAATGCGAGAAGTCATTCTGCAGGCGCTGTGAGCCCTCTAAACCCTAAACCCTAAACCCTAAACCCTTTGAATTTTTATCTTCATTAGCCCTGTCAACTTGCCCTTATGACGCAGCATTCCAAACCCTAAACCCTAAACCCTAATTTGCCCTAAACCCTAGACCCTAAATTAACGCTAAACCCTAATCCCTAGTTTCACCCTAAACCCTAAACCCTACGCAGACCCTAAACTCTAAATATAGCTTAAACCCTAGACCCTGATTGGCCTCTAAACCCTGGATAAAAGCTAAACCCTAGGTAAACCCAAAACCCTAAATAATAATTAAATCCCAGTAAACCCTAAACCCTGGATATGCGCCAAGAATAAACCTTCCGTAAACCCTAAACCCTAAACCCTGGGTCGTCTAGAGCAGCTTGGAGCCCCCGGCTGGCCCCCAAACTCTAAACCCTAAACCCTAAACCCTAAACCCTGGCTGCTGCTGAGTGTTTTGTTTTGCTTCTGCTGCAGCCAAAAGCAGCGCCACAGCAGCAGCAGAGTTGTTGCTGAGAGTTGCCTGGTGGCTCTTTGGAATGTCCAGGAGGAGTTGGGCATAGACTGCGGGGTTTAGGGTTTAGGGTTTAGGGTTTAGGGTTTCGGGTTTAGGGTTTAGCGTTTGGGATTCGGGGTTTGGGCTTTGGGGCTTCGGGTCGGGGGCTTGGAGTGCAGGGCTTCTGGCGCCGAGGGTTTAGGGTTTAGGACTCAGCGGTTCAGACGCGAGATCCAAGGCGCTAGGGTTTAGGGTTTAGGGTTTAGGGTTTAGAGTTTAGGGTTTAGGGTTTGGAGACCTGAGGCCCTATTCCCTCGTGGCGTTTTTTGCAGCTTTTCCTTACGTGTTTGACATTTATCTTTTTCATTTATTAATTATTATTTATTTATTTATTTATTTTGTTTATTATTTATTTATTATTTATTTATTTATTTATTATTTATTTGAAGAAATAAAACCCTCAGTTTGTTTTTAAAATCTGATTTGCTGGCATTACCGCTGCTTTATTCTGCCACTTTGTCTCCTTGGCAGAGATTAGGGTTTAGGGTTTAGGGTTTAGGGTTTAGGGTTCAGGGTGTAGGGCTTAAGGTTTAGGGTGTAGGGCTTAGGTTTTACGGTTTATGGTTTATGGTTTAGGGCTTAGGGTTTAGTCTTTAGGGTTTAGGGTTTAGGGTTTAGGGATTAGGGTTTAGGGTTTAGGGTTTAGGATTTAGGGTTTAAGCGAACATCACCTGTTAACTTCCTCGACGATTTATCTGCTTTCAACGTTTCGCCTCTTTTATTTTTATTTTATTTTATCTTATTTTATTTTATTTTATTTTATTCTATTTTATTTTTAGTTTTTATTTCCTTTTTATTTCCTTTTTGTTTTCATTTTATTTCTTTTTATTTTCAATTTTTGTTTTTCGCTTCTTCCTCTTCTTCTTTGTCTCCTTTTTGTTTTTATTTTAATTCGCATTTAGAATTTTAAATTTATATTTTAATTTTATTTTAATTTTAATCTTTTTTGTTTTAATTTATCTTTAATTTTAATCTTCTTTTTTTAATTTTAATCCTTTTTGTTTTAATTTATTTTTTTAAATTTTAATCTTTTCTTATTTTCTTAATCTCCCTGCCTTCTTCCACTTTTACTTTTATTTGCTTTTATCCTTTTTTTTCTTTTTTATTTCTTTTTTATCTGGTTTTTTATTTCTTTCTTATTTCTTTATTATCTCTTTTCTTTCTTTTCATTTATTTTTTATTTCTTTTTATTTCTCCTCTATTTTTCTTTAATTTCTTTATTTCATTTTCGTTTCCTTTTATTTCTCCTCCGTTTCTCTTTTTATATCTTTTTGATTTCTCTTTGATTTCTTTTCGATCTCTTTTTTATCCCTTTTTTCTTTTTATTTCTTCTTGATTTCTTTCTTATTTCTTTTTGGTTTCTGTTTGATTTCTTTTTTCTTTTTTATTTCTTTTTTATTTATTTCTTTTTTGTCTCCTTTTGTCGTTTCTCGTTTCCTTCTTGTCTCCCATCCTTTTCTTTCTTCTTTTTGATTTTTAAAATCTTTTTGTTTCTTTTTTATTTTCCCTTTTAGTTTCTTTATTTTCTTTATTTCTTTTTTATTCCTATTTCTTTTTTTATCCTTTTGTTTCTTTTTATTTTTCTTTTTTTGCTTTCCCTTCGTCGAATTTTCCTCTTTCCTTTCTTTTCGAATTTTTTTCTTTTTTTTTTCGAATTCTTTTCTAACTTCCAATTCTTTTTAATTCTTTTCTGCTTCTTCTTAATTTCTTTGTTATTTCTTTTTAATTTCTTTTTAATTTCTTTTTTATTTCCTGTTTATTTCTTTTCGTTTCTTTCCTAAAATCTTCTCAATTTCTATCTATTTCTTTTCTATTTTTTTCCATTTTCTTTTCTAATTTCGTTTCCGTTTTTTCCTGCTTCTTTCGAATTCTTTTCGAATGTATTTTGTAACTTCTATTTCTGTTCAAATTTCCACTTTAATTCTTTTTCCTTTTTTTAATTCCCATTTTGATTTCTTTTCTAATTTCTACTTTAATTTCTTTTTAACTTCTTTTCTGATTTTTTTTCTAATTTCTATTTTAATTTCCATTTTAATTTCTATTTTAATTTCTTTTCTAATTTCTATTTATTTCTTTTCTAATTTTTTCGTCTCTTGAGAGTTCTTGGAATGTCTCTGAAGACTTAACAAAAGCCAAAAGAGTTGAAATAATTTTGTTGATTTATTTATTTATTTATTTATTTAATTTCATTTAAATAATTTATTTATTTATTTATTTATTTTCTTCAAATAAATTTTTTGCCCTTTTCCTTCAAAGGCCCAAAAGACAAAAAAGTGGCGAAGACCAAAAGACCCTAAACACAAAAACACAAAACAAATTACATTATTTATTTTGTTTAATTCATTTTGTTTATTATCTAATTTATTTATTTTATTAATTTAGTTTGTTGTTTAATTCATTATTTAATTTCTTTTAATTTATTTATTGGCTTTCTATTTCACAAAAATAAATTCACCAGAAGCTCTTATAGCCTTTTGCTCTGCTTTTATTTCTTTTATTGTATTTATTATTAATTTTTTAATTTATCTGTTAAACAGCTTTTTATTTTTCTTCATTTCCTTTTAAATTCTCTTATTTTTCTGAATTTTTTCTGCTAATTCTTCGTTCAATTCTTTAATTATTTCTCTGATTATTTCTTTTATCGTATCTTTTTTATCTCTTTTCTATTTCTTTTATAATTCTTTTTGTTTCATTTAAATCTTAAATTTGTTTTCGTTTTGTGTCTAATTTGTTCCAAGTGTACTTACAGCTGCTCACTTAAGAGTTGTTCGGTACTGCGTTTCCATTCGTCTTCGCCTGCTGCTGCTGCTGCTGCTGCTGCTGCTGCTGTCCATTCGTCTTCGCCTGCTGCTGCTGCTGCTGCTGCTGCTGCTGCTGTGCAGCAGCAGCAGCAGCAGGTCCGTCGTGGATGCCGCTTTGTGTTCTGCTGTCTAGCGATCGGCTAGCTGAACTTCTCATTTTCAAAACGGAGGGGGAGCGGTTTGCTGCTGCTGCTGCTGCTGCTGCTGCTGCTGCTGCTGTGGGGCTGCTGCTCTTCAAACCCCTCTGGCTAGCCAGAGACTCGGAGGGCCGGAAGTCATGTCTTGAGCCCCTGAAGCTGCTGCTGCTGCTGCTGCTGCTGCTGTTATCTGCCGTGCTGCAGCGCAACAAGCAGCAAAAGAAACCCTATTTTAGGGTTTGTGTCTTTCAGTTCTTCTCCGCTAATTGTTGCATCCTTTCGAATTAATATTTAAATTATTTCTCAGACTTTTATTTAAACTAATTAGTTTGATTTATTTAAAACGCTTCCACCAAACTTTGCAATTCCTCTTCTACTTGCTCTAATTTCTTCGTTTCTTCTCCCCTTAAACCCTCTTTTTAACCTCCATTATTTATTTATTTATTTTAATTAATTAATTTATTTATTTATTTATTTATCCATTTATTATTAATTAATTTATTTCCCACTTCTGCAAGCCGTGGCGAATGTATCTGCTGTTCATCTTCAAGTTCCTGAAGATGGGCGCGAAGCCAATAACGATTCCCAGCAGCAGCCCAATGAGACATCCCACTGAAATAAAAAATAAATAAATAAATAAATAAATAAATAAATAAATGAATAAATAAATAAAGGAGAGGAGTGGAGTGGTTCGTTCGAATTTCATTGCCCCCATTAGAACAACCCCTACAAACCCTAAACCCTAAACCCTAAACCCTCGCCCCAAATCCCTCCCAAACCCTCCCTCCCCCTCCCCCTCCAAACCCTAAACCTTAAACCCTAAACCCTTACTGGAACCAGCAAAAGCCCCCCAACCCCCCACCCAGACCCCTCCCCCTCCCCCAAACCCTAAACCCTAAACCCTAAACCCTTACGGGAAATCGTGGAGGCCCTGGGCTGCACGAGGCCCCCTACAGAGCCCTTTCTCTCCCCCTCCCCCTCCTCCTCCCGCTCCCCCAAACCCCAAACCCTAAACCCTAAACCCTAAACC